CCGAACTCTTACAGACATGCTCGCTAAGTATGTTTCTACAAACCACACCTGACTAGGATCTGGCGTTGTTGTATGTCACATTTGCCTATAATTCTTTTCTGCTGTATGCTATAATATTTCTGCTGTTTGGCTGAGAACCAACATTGCCACTAGACACTGTCATACCGTCCCCTGCAGTACCGACCAGTCAATATGCCATGGACGCTATCACTCGGGCGGCTCACGCATGCGAAATCACCCGTACTCGCCTTCTGACTTCTCAAGAGAAGCAATGGCGTTTGTCTGACTAACGACTCCGCGACATACACATTCTGCCCGGTTCTTTGGTCCTGCTCTGGTCTCCGACCCGTCAAGTTGGCGCTTGTCAGAAAAACTGCTTACTCGCTACACAGGTCCATACCGAGTCCTTCATGTGGTTACTCTTGTGACATATGAAATCGGTCCTGTCGCCCCGTTGCCTTCATGTGCCCAACAGGCTACCGATATTGTACATGTTGTGCGCTTGAAGCCCTACCACTCTCCTAGTGACGTTGACATTTAGATGCACCGAGACGGCGCTTCTGTCGCCAGAGGTTATGCTACATGCACGCATATTGATATTCTAGGGGGCGACGCACGTGTGTGCCTAACGAGGAAGATGAAGGGTTTTCTCCACTCAATCGCTAATCAACCGGTCACGCCATTACTGCTGGTTTTAAATACATCTAATCAACAGCCTCGTTGATACGGCGTCTCTCTTTTTTTTTTTTCGTAACAATATTACCCTCAAATGGATTCATCATTTTTTAAGCTTAAAAGCTTGTTACGACAGCTTATATGCCCAAAGTATAATAAGTTTTCAAATGTTACGCATTTTACAGGTTATCACTTGCATCATGGCGAAAGCCTGATCCTGCTACTACTCAAAGTTATTTCAACTTCCCTTGAGGGGAAAAAAAAAGACATTTGCATAGAGGCCTTATTTGGATTAAAAATAAAATATTGTGCAGGCTGGTTCGGTCATGATAAATATGCCAATTTTTTTGTATGTCACATACACTATTTAAATTTGATTTGCAATTATTCGACCAATATCATAATTCACTTCGAACCTAAAACGCAATATTCACAAAAGCCTACCAAACAGTCGTCATAAAGGTATATTTCTAACACTGTTTCTATTGAAGACTAGTCATCATTTTGCTTCATAATAACCATTACTTCATTGTATCCAGATTTGTTATATTGAGGTATGCAGTGTACTGTAGCAGCTATATCGACTGCAGTGTGCTTCAGGCTTCAGGGCCATGCTACAAATTTATTGGTCGCAATCCCCCGATAAAGTGCCTCAAAATATTGGTGCACTACACGAAAGAAAATGGGAATATCATCCATCTTGTTTCCTGGTTCCCGTGTTCTTCTGTGCTGTGCAACGGGACCATGAATAACCAACTTGCCCAGTCATCCTCTCACACGACCTCAACCAAATGATATAAAAAAAAGCCATTTTAATTATACAGTGGAGTTACTATCACGAAGCTCCTTCACAAGCTAGGCAACTAGCCAAAGTGAGATTTTACATTTTGCTGAGCCATAGATAGTTGTTAAAAGTGTTCTATAAAAATTATATTTACAAACGTGATGCTGTTATTGGACACACATTCATTTGACTTGACAGAAATAATGTCTAGTACTCTTACTTTAGATGCGAGTCGAGCTTGCAAACACAGTTCCAATTTCCATCTCATCGCACTGGCTGAATCGATGTATGAACCAATCTTCTGAATGAAAAGAGCCGTGCGTTAGAATCAGGTGAAGTGCTGCAATAACAACATGAGCCATTTTCATGCTAGGGTGTTCTGAGGCAGTTTGAAACAGGTGGCTTTGACGAGATAGCTCATGCTTTACCCATTCGCTGTACTATTGTAAGCACTTTAATGCTGAACACTGCTGCTGTTCAATAGTGCAGTTCTCGATGAGGTTGGGCATATGTGAGGAAAGCAGCCAAGTTTGAATGATCTGGAAAAGTTAGTTCCGCAACAAGAACTACAAAAATTTGGTGCTATAGACACGTACAAGGTGCTAGCGAGGACATTCAGTCAAGGTCAAGTCAAACAAAAAGACTGAATTATCAAGAGTTGAAGTAATATACACCTACTGTACTGACTTAATTTAAATGTATTACATTAACCTGTGACTGTGTGACATTATTTGTGGCCTTTATCATTTTGATGTGGGACATGGGGACTTTCATTTGTTTATTTGGAAAACACTCAAGTTACGCACAGTACATTATAGAGGGAAGGAGCAAGTACATGATCATATGAAACATGGAACAAGTACAAGGATAGAAGGAAAACAAACAAAAAACTACATAAACAATCAATCAAGTTTGTACAGTATTAATGCACAATAAAAACAAAAATTAAAGGATAGTACTGATTTAAACACTGGGAATACAAAATGTACCACTCGAATGAGTAATTCAGTATGAATCTAATAGTAAAAAAAGCACCATAAGAGCACGAGCTCTAACCACCAAACAAGAAGAGAAAAGAAAAAAAAGAAAAAAAGAAAAAAAAAGAAAAAAAATGGCAGAGTTTTACACGACTACTATTTGCCTCAGCATAAACTGATTTCCTTGGGCAGACTTGCCTTTATGCCTGTAGAGAAAGCATAAAAGAACCGGTCAGAACAGACACTGCTTTCCTGACAAGTCAAGTCAATATTGAAACATTAGCTGCAGAGACATTTTCAGTTCAATTAGTGTTGATAGCATCCAGCTTTCGTCTTTCTCTGAGCTTGCCTAGTTTGGAACATTACCATGGCTGTTGAAGTGGGCTTGCACACAGAGCCATATCTCTTTGTGTGCCATGTGTTGTCATCAACCTGATGAAGAAGAGGGGGTAATAAAAGTGAACAAATATTAGTCATCAGAAGAACAAAAAAATTCAGGCAGCTCTACTCGGCAGACACCGATGAAACAGCAATGCTGGTGGCGTGAAATGGGATTAAATGAAGGAAATGAAGTGGGAATGAATTGGGTGAATGAAGTGGGAGCAGTGGTGACAGCAATGGTGAGCGTATCGGTGAGCTGCGGGCGTAGTGCGTTGTAGGAGTGGTGGGAAGAGCGACCCATATTTGTAGTAGGATTTACCCCTTTTCTGCATGTAAATCCCGCTACGATCTACGGTGGTCCCCAGAAATGAAAACCTTGACCAAGAACACCTTCGCTGTTAAAAAAAATGGTCTAGCCAGAGGTGAGGTGACAGGATTAAAGTTTAACTGTTGGAGCGTAGAGAGGATGGCAATACTTACGTGGAATGCCACTGTGAAATAATTATCTCTTATGGCGGCGACGTGTGCTCTTGCATGCGTCCACAATAAGGTGGGTCATGTGCCACGTGTTGCCGTACTTCCACCAGCTCCAAGGAAAATCTCCACATTTGTACATGCTTTTTGGCTGCACAACAGGTACTCATTTAACTTCATTGTGCCCATCATTGCTGCAGTTCATGTCGCTAAAGACACTATGATGTTCAGAGTCATTTTACCTGTCGCATCCTGGGAGACACACCAAAATAATACATTTTGTTTTCTCAGAATCTATTAGCTCATAATAACTTTTTTATGTATTTCAAGCCTGAGATTTGATTATGTTTGTACAAGAATGGAACATGAATGACGTGTGAATCGGTCTCTTCATTAGTTATTAATGTATACACAGATAGCATAATACATATTACAACCTTTGCGTTGCTATAATATAAAATCAAGTGCCTTGAAATAATGTTCAGTTTTAGATATTTAGAGTTCATTTATGGTATTTCACCTCTGAAGGGCTTATGCTAAATTGGTAATGTTTGTAGGTACAGCATGCAAAGCCTTTCATGCTTTCATTTAATGTAATAATTGAGAACTGAATACATTTCTTACTGACGCTGTGTGCTACGATTATTACATCTGACAGTGTACAAGGATTATTCATGCGAAGTGTGGAAAAAAATAAAAATAATTCTGCAAAAAATAGGTTTTCTTGTTTTCTTTTTTTTGGCGCAGTTGAAAAAATCAGCCGTAACTTTCATGGGGTTAAACGTACAGAAATAAAGCTTAGGCAACACAGAGCGTTGAACATGAAACCAAAATATCGCTCATGATACCAGAATACCCAACGGCGGGTGACCACTCGCCATCGACATCATATGAAATCAGCTTCTTCAACGTCAGCTTAGCTTGAGTCTACAGTGTAGTTTCATCGTTCAAGCGTGGTCTGGTGTGATCATGTTGGGAGTGGTTTCTGATGTTTTTGTACCTGTTATTGTTCGGTTTTGACTTTCCCTTTTACACTCCTGCGACCTGTGGCAGAAGTTCGCTTATAAAGCTGCATGCAAATGGATTCTGCAACGGTTAGGCTAATTCATGATGTGTGGATGCACTTCACGATCGAGGAGACCGGTGGGGAGAAATGGGGACTCGCTGTCTTCAAGCACTGCAACAGCTGCTATGCTTTTCCCAATGTGACATCTTAGCATGATGAAGAAAGCTACAGATGAAGCCAGTGATACTAGTTCGTACTATTAGTTTGTCAGCATCTTGATCAATGTTTCTATAGTTCAAGCCACGATGAAATAGACATTTCGGGGTTCTTTGTTCAAACTGCCATAACAATTTTAGGAAGCCGCGCCCATTCAAAGAGAGCTAAGTGAGTTTGTGGTGATGCATCTGGCTGCCTTCGATCTAATAAATGCTACATTTGTTTGTGAAATGAGAGAAAGCATTTCAGTTTTGTTATTTACATAACGAAAGTTATTGCTTTTGACACTTGGCAATAAAGTATTACCATATGGCTATAAACTATTGTCATATGCTAAAGAAAACTTGTTCTTTTCCATTTTTCCACTTGCTCGAAATTCTGTGAATTTCGCATCTCTAATGCCAATATGTTTTGATGTTCAACTTCATGTCCTTAATTTCCTATAATCCAACCTTTGCTTGCGTACACCAAACAATTTGCTTTGCAGGCTATCAACGGTGGTTCATGCTGACCAAATCCTTGTGATCCAGGAAGGGGAGATTGTCGAAAGTGGCCAGTGAGTATTAGTGTCTGTGTGTAGAATCTTGCATTAATTCCTGATACTACAATTCCGTTCCATATCAGCATGTTGTCGGAATTCACACACAATAGTGTGTGGTCATGTATTCTCTATAGCAGATAAGGTTGCTAATGCCGCATTATAAGGGGTAAACTTAGTGTGCCAAGCCTTGTCATTATCAAGCAGCATATACTATCAGAAGGTTTTAGAATTGCTGTAGCAACTGCTTGCTGATTCGCAACTTGTATGGACAGCCTACAAGTAAGAGACAAATTGCTAGCACCATTAAATGGCTAAAAATTGTGCTCATGCTGTCTTCATTGCAGCCATTGTAGCAAAATGATACACTGCAATAGATTAATATGTTTCTAATATTAGGCTGTTGACTTCATTATTATAACAGAATTTAAGCAGCACTTCAGAAATCAGGATATTGAAACGAAAAACATGGCACTAATTAACAACCAATCAAAAATAATGAAATGGCTAATTTGCCTACTCACTGCACAGCTTAAGGATGTGAAGCACGATTTCTACAGACTAAGATACTGGAGCATACCGAAAACACATGTGCTCGTGAGGTTTTGGAAGAATTCTTTTGGAAGCATCTGAAAGCACACGAAATGGGATAGCTGTGTGAGTGAAGACTCAGCATTGCTTTACAGTGGAGAAGTGGCTTTTTATGAATAAGATGCGTTAGCATGTGATGTTCCTCAGCACGTCTGCACAGCTATCTTCGGTTTTCATATTTAACCGACGCTTCACAGTCAATAAAAAAAGTTGGTAGTTTGCGCTCAATCTGTTTAATGTTCCTTCTTTACCGTGTCCTTTTTTGTTTTAGCACAATTTTTCCTGCAATGATTAACAATCAGTCTTTATTACAACTCACTGTCAAATATATCATCAGCAGCATTGGCCTTTATCATGCCCACTGCAGCATGAAGACTTCTCTATGTGACCTTCTAGTCTCCCTGTCCTGTGCAAGCTCATTCCATTGTATACCGGTCAATTTCTCAGTTTCATCTTCACATCCATCTTTCTTAGTATCCATTCCATTGCTGTAAGTGACCATCGTTTATCTGTCCTTTACACTGTCACCTTCCCAGGTCCACCTTTTTTTAAATTTCTGCTAGAATATTTGTTCCCTAATCCACTCTGCTCTTTTCCTGTCCCTTCAAGGGGTGGTGCCATAAAATTTCGAGGCTATGACAAGCCTCTTGTGGGTTTCCTCTGAATGCAAGGACGCTCCATGGTCAGACACAGCAAAAGATTATATACTAAAATCTCATTATAACAAAGTTGAATCTTACTCGAAAACAAGTTCATTATATCCAAAAATTTGTTATAAAAGTTTATTACTAACACTATAGCTATTGCAAGACTATCTTTTCATTTACTTTGTTATAACCGGTATTTTGTTATATCCGGGTTCGTTATATTGAGGTTTGAGTGTCTAAAGAGGTTTATTGGGCGAACCTAACGGGCAAACAGAAGATTCGAAATAGCTACAGGACAAGGAAGATGGTAGAGCTCGAGCGCCGATCTCATGGTGCCTTTCTCTGCGATGATGCTTGTTGTTCCCCGGTGTTGTCATCATTCCTTCATTATAATTTCCCCCGTCGAGAAAGATGAAGCCACCCTGGTGATCTAAAAGGTGGGATTGAGCGGGTCGAAGTAGGGCTTCAAGCGATCCACATGAACAATATCATGTCCACGCCGACGATGGTCACCGAGCGGTGTAAGCAGTTAAATGGCGTAATTGACGGGCGATATGCACTCTACCACGCGGTATGGACCATAGTAATTTGAATGTAGCTTGGTAGACAAACCAGTTGCATAGGGTGGTACATACAGCCATACAAGGGTTCAAGGGGCGAACTTTGCGGCAGGAGGGTGGTCGTCATCGCGGGCCTTTTTCTGGCGTTGCTGGTCAGCCGTAGTAAAATGCTTCGCTAGTTGGCGGCATTCTTCGGCGTGACGGACGGCTTCGGACACGGTCATGCACTCAGATGCATCTGGTGTGTGTTGCAGCAAAGTATCAATTGTGTGCGATGGTTGACGTCCGTATAGAAGGAAGAATGGGGAAAAGATGATGGTGGCTTGGGTAGTTGTGTTGTACGTGTAGCTCGCAAACAAAAGAGCCAGGTCCCAGTTCGTTTGGTCAGATGCCACATGCGTCGCGAGCGTGTCACCCAGGATCCGATTAAACCGCTCAGTCAGGCCATTCGTCTGAGGGTGGTAAGCAGTACTCATCCGGTGTACAATATGGCACTGGCACAGAATACCTTGAATTACGTCGAATAAAAATACACGGCCCCAGTCACTGAGGAGCTCGCGAGGAGGGCCATGACGCAACACAGACCGATAGGGGATGAAAGCTGCGACGTCCTGAGCGTTCGCCGTAGGAAGAGCAGCAGTTTCAGCGTACCATGTCAGGTGATCTACAGCAACGATAGCCCACCGGTTACCTGCTGCGGTCGATGGCAGTCGTCCATAAAGGTCGATTCCGACACGATTGAATGGGCAGTCGGGGCATGCAAGTGGTTGTAGTGGAGCTGCTCCTGGATTCGGTGACTGTTTCCGTCGCTGACACTCGTGGCAGCCGCGAATAAACTGTCGAACAAAAGTAAACATCCCACGCCAGTAGTACCGTTTCCTTAAACGTTCGTAGGTCTTGAAGACACCGGCGTGAGCGCATTGCGGGTCGGAGTGAAAAGATGCACAGATTGTAGAGCGCAGCTTTCGGAGAATAACGAGCAGCCACTTCCTGCTGTCTGTTGAGTAATTGCGGCGGTACAAGAGGCCACCTCGAATGGTGAAGTGCGAAGCCTGGCGTCGCATTGCTCGAGTGGTTGGAAGTGTCAGTACCTCAGATAAAACGTCCAGAAGCGAAGTTATCCATGGATTGTTGTGCTGTGCAGAGGACATTGTGTCGATGTCACGAGCTGGCTGTGCGTGTTCTATAAAAGATATAGAGACAGCCTCAGTGGACAGTGGTGATCGCGAGAGCGCATCAGCGTCGGCATGTTGGCGGCCAAAATGGTGAGCCCAATGAGCAAGGTGAATTGATGGACTGTAACTACCGCAAACGTGCGGCCATATAAGTATGGGCGAAACTTGATAATCACCCAAAGTATGGCTAAGCACTCCTTTTCGGTAACACTGTAGTTTACCTCAGCCTCGTTGAGCGTTCTGCTGGCATAGGCGACGACATACTTGAGGGATTCAGGCTTGCATTGAGCGAGAACTGCACCGAGACTGACGCCGCTGGCGTCTGTATGGATCTCAGTTACAGTTGTGGGATCATAGTGGCGCAATTATAGGCGGTGATGTCAGGAGACGGCAAAGATGGTAAATGCGTGATCACACTCGGAAGACCATGACGAGATGTCGTTGGCACTGCTTAAAGGTTGGGTCAAAGAGACAATTATGGAGGCAAAGTTAACTGGCGAAAGTGGGAGCATAATTCTACGAAGCTGCATAACTGTTTTGCAGTCGCCGGTTTGGGGAACTCAGTGACAGCGCGTAGTTTAGCAGGGTCGGGAAGAACGCCATCTTTTGATACGACGTGACCGAAAACAATGAGCTTCCGAGCAGCGAAGTGGCATTTCTTGAGACTCAGTTGGAGCTGTGCATTCTTCAGACACGTGAGGGCATGTTTCAGGCATACAAAATGGGTTGCGAAATCGGGTAAAAGGACGACAATATCGTCGAGATAGCAGAGGAATATGTTCCATTTCAAACCCTGCAGAATCGAGTCTATCATGCGCTCTAATGTGGCCGGCGCATCCCAGAGGCCGAAGGGCACGGCATTGAACTCATATAGCCCGTCCAGTGTCACGAACGCTTTATTTGGACGATCGGCATCTGCTAAAGGCACCTGCCAATACCCCGAACGCAAATCTAATGACGAAAAAAACTCGGCACCTTGTAAGCAATCGAGGGCATCATCAATCCTGTGCAAAGGGTATACGCCTTTGCAAGTGATCTTATTTAAGTGCCTGTAATCAATGCAGAAGCGAATTGTACCGTCCTTCTTCTTAACAAGAATGACAGGTGATGCCCATGGACTTTGGGAAGGTCGGATAACGTCGCGCTTGAGCATATTGTCAACCTGTTCGGTGATAACCTGACGTTCCGCGGTGGAAACACAGGTATGGTCGCTTTCGTACTGGCGCGTTGGAACTTGTGTTGATGCAGTGAAAGAAACTGGGAGTTTGGCGCAGGGTAGGCTGAGCAACGTCAAAGGATTTACGAACTGGTAGAGCAGCTGAAGAAGCTCAGAGCGTTCAGATGGCTATAGTCCATCGGCGATCGATGAATTGGAAAGCTCGAAAGGTGGAACATTGAAAGGGTTGAGGGCACTGATGGCGTCGTAGTCGCTGGAACAGTCTGTCAGCATGGTAAAAATTTTTTCTTTATCAATGGCATGCACGTGTCCAAGAGATTCACCTTGAAACAGTTCGATGGGATACGGAAGGGAATCGATGAAGCAGAGAGCACTGTTTCCTTCAGAAATGGAGAGGGTTGATACAGCAGAAGTGGTCTTCGACTAAGGAAGAGGCTTGATGGTTCAAAGAGTGCAGCTTTGTCCATAATGCCGTCACAGAACACAGGGAGCAACACAGCTGCTGTCGGAGGAATTTCAGTGCCTTCTTTGAGGACGAGTTGTTTGTGTACAGCAGGCTGAATGCAGTCGGTTGGTTGGTTGTAAAACGAGAACAGTTCAAGTTCCAATCTTGCACAATCAATAACAACGTGGTTACGCGATAAAAAATCCCATGCAAGTATGATGTCGTGTGAGCACGACGAAAGGACAATAAACTCAACAGTGTAGTGGTCCTTTGCAATGGTCAGATGGACAGTACAGGTGGCTACAGGCTGAACCGGGTCCCCATTCGCTGTTTGCAAGGACATCATATCAAGAGGCGTAGTCACTTTTCAGAGCTTGTGGCAAAGTTTAGCGTCTATCACGGAAACGCAGCCCCAGTATCAATTAGAGCATATGCTCGAGTACCTTCTACAAAAACTTCGACAATATTCAACGGCAATGTCCGAGGAATTGAGCATTTCGACTGCGCAGTTTTTGCCTCCTGAACTGCGGCGGTTAGTTTCCCTCGTGTTCAGGAGCTGGCCAACGACGCATAGGTGACAGGGAACGACGAAGGGGTGAAGGTGAGCGACCAGACATAGTACGCGGACATTCCCGTGAAGACGAGCTTGACTGAGGATCCGAATTTTCTAGACGAGATGGAGGAAGGGCCATGAAGCTGTTCTGTGTCCGGGCATCTGTGTATCCCGGCACGCGACGACGGAAGTATCAGGCGATAATGCCAGGACTGCCGCACGCAAAACAGATGGGCCAGTTATTGCGTGTTCTCCAAGTATTGGTGACGAGGAGAGCAACCCATGTGGTGGACGGGTGAGTTGAGGCTGTTGTAGCAATGGGAGGAGCCTAGGCGGTGGACGGCTCAGTCGGGGCTGAGGTATGCCGCAGTCCCTGGAACGGTGGGGCTGTTGTTGCTGCCGCTTTATTGCCTCAGCATAAGTAAGAGGCACGGTGACGGGGGGGCTGCTGCAAGGGCACCGGCATAGCCTCGGAAATCTGCTCCTGGACCACATGTTGGAGCATGGGAGCCAATGGTGGTGGGTGTCGCAGTGGCTGTTGCTGCGAGAGCTCCTGGCGTTGAGCAAAAGGCAGTAGAGAAGGCAGCCAAGCCTCTTCCTCTCGCACAGTCTTTCATTTGTGCGAGAAGGTTTGTCTGGTCAGTCATGATGTCCAGTGCGGTCACTGGTTGGATTGTCTGGAATGAGCGTTCGCGTCTGAGCTCGTTGCCTCTGCAACCATAGCTCTGACACAAAGTCACTACTTCGGCCACAGTGCTAGGAAACTTCGCAAGAAGCATCTGGAAAAGATCATCGTCAATGCCCTTCATAATGTGCTGTATCTTTGCACTCTCGCTCATGGAAGCGTTGACGCGCCGGCAGAGATTGATCACATTTTCTATATATGAGGTGAAAGTTTCACCTGGCTTCTGTGCCCATGTGCGCAGACGTTGTTTGGTGCATAGCTTCCATAAGGCAGGGCGACCAAAAACAGCGCTTATTGCCTCCTTGAAGGCGGACCAGTTCGCGAACTCGGTTTTGTGGTTCATATACCACAGCTTGGCCACGTTGGTGAGAAAAAAATTGACAGTGCCCAATTTAGCAGCGTCATCCCACCTGTTCACTGACTTTTTCGCATGACGACAGCCAGTCCTCGACATCCTGGTCTTCGGTGCCTGCAAAGATCAGGGGGTCTCGCTGCTGAACCGAACAGGGCCAAGTAGCGGCCGTGAGAGGTACTGTTTGTTGGGCCGCATCAACTTGCAAGGTCAATGGCAGGGTGCAGGATCAAACTTCCAGGGTGTAGGCGATGTGAAGATGTGGTTACCCAGCACAATCCACCAAACGTAAAGAGGTTTATTGGGCGAACCTAACGGGCAGGTGGAAGATTCGAGATAGCCACAGGACGAGGAAGATGGTGAAGCTCAAGCGCCGATCTCGTGGTGCCTTTCTCTGCAATGATGCTTGTTGTTCCCTCGTGTTGTCATCGTTCCTTCATTATAAGTGTAATATATTTATTTCAGTTCCAAAGTGTAAGTGTCCCTAATTGCTCATTCTCCTGACTGAAGCCCATCGCAAGCGCATCCAGCATTGACGCAGCTCTGTAGTAGAGTGTACTGTACTCTGTACAAAGGGCAACGAAAGTTGTAGGGTTGTCACACCAGATCTGTCGTGAGCGAAGGTGCGTGCAAGTTTCCCCTTCAGGGGAGACGAAGGTTCAGCATTCCCCTCCCTATTATGTCAATGTGTGGAGCTGACCTTGCACCCCCCCCCACTCCTCTTAGGTGACTACGGGAGTGCACTTGTATCGCCTAAAGATAGTCTAAGTAGATTATCTTGCTATTGCCATGCAAAAACAACTGCAAAACAATATAAAAAGAAGCAGAAAAAAATAAAGAAGTGTGAAGAAAGTAATTCTTGGAAGATCGAGCCTGGTACCTCTGGAAGGTGGCCTGTTACCTCGGAAGGCTTTGGAGGTTTTTGAGGTGGGATATTTTGTCGGGGCCACATACATGTGAATGCTGTTATAGGGACCAAGCAGGCCAACATATAAGTGATGATTTCAACAAGCATGCAAACTCACTCAAGGGCTCACTTACCAGTTATAGCATGGGTGACTATTTCAAAAAGCACAATTGTTGGTTTCATTATTAAAGAGCATACATTTTAGGATGTGATACAGAGCAATTGTGTGTGTGAGTTATGGTAAGTGAATGTTTTAGATTGAACAACACCAGTGATTCTTGTGTGCTTTTTGTCTCTATACAGCTCTGAAATCAATCTCTTGAAAATGTGACAGCTTGCCAAGATGCCTTTGAAGATTTTTGTTGTTTTTGTTGTTATTTGTTCACTTTTATCATCTGGACAGTGTCTGCTTTCTGTGCATTGCAGCTGTATTGAAACAAACAGTGCTTGTTAGTGTGCCATGTCAGTCGTTCTCACATCAGCTTGTCTGAAGGGCTATTTGATCACGTTTCAAAAACGCACCGACCAGCGCAGTCTTGGCCAAATTCGAATCGATTCTGTCACGTGAAAGTTATTTCGATGACAACCAGCATACGAGAGCTTAATGAAAATGGAATGCCCTGCGACATCAACACTAGTGCTACGTGTTTGGAGTGATACATTCTGTACATACCATCCTGAGTGACGATGCGCTAGTAACGATGACGTCTACGATCTGAGTGTTCTTATTGTGGCGCCGACTGGCGTCGAAGCCTGCAAAACGCACTACCTTGTCAAGTCTGATCTTCGTCGCACCACTTTGAATGATTTTGTGAAATTACGAAGATGCAAACAACCTTTAAAAGAACGGCGAAAAAAAGAGCATGATTCAGCGTGCGCTTGTCGGTCAGCATGTCGGAAAACCATTGTGAGTTGCAGTAGTTTCGTTCGAAGCATGGAAAAAGTCCAATAAGGGCTTCTTTTCATATCACTTATATGTTACACACCAACAAGACCACAAGGTGTCAAAGTGGAACAGCGTAGATACCATCGCTAGCAAGTAACAGGCAGGTATTGTTGAATTCTAGTTCGTCTGTAGACTTTTTCGCCCGCGTAATACCGAGTTAGTGCCACCGCAACAGCATGAGGCTGGATAGGTGGGGCTATCTTTAGGCGCAGAGAAGAACCGGGCAAGCAGGGAACATATTCTATTTCTCCGATGATGTTTATTCCCGATAGCGATATTCTATTGACCCCTTTGCGTATACCTGAATGCCGTGCACGTCAAAACACACCAGTATAGCTAACTGAGACACACGAGCGAACATCACATCCTTGAGCACCTCCTCAGTGCTCCTTGGAACGTCGTCTATCTTGGAATCGCTGTTCTGTAAAGGGTCGGTCGAAGCAAAAATAATTCGCAACATCGCTAATCGCAGGGATTCCAAGCTTCAGACTATCGTATTCAATCCCAAGTCAACACTTTTCTACAAGCGATGACGGCAATGCAGGTGACAAGGCATGACTGAATATGTCCGCCTAGTAGACAAAATGTTTGTGGAGCAGCTGAGTCTGACGTCACCCTTTCCTGTGGAGAAATGGTCAGCTGTGGCACAATCTGGAGGTTACCGCGAGGTCGCGTCACTGGTAACGCTGCCAGCGCATGAAATGGCGGGATTGCCGGCCGTTTTGAATGGGGCTAGATATCGGTAATTATAAATCAATAAAACTGATAGTTATTCATCCCTCAGTTGCGTTTTAGGTCAGGAATTGCTGCTACGGAGTCTACATCTGCTCGTTGATGCAAGAGTTTTGGCATGAGTAAATGCGATGTGAGTGCTCCTTTAACCTCGTTTTCTTAACTCAGCCAGCAGGCCGCAGTCACGCAGTTCACACAGTTCAGCCCAGCAAGGGCCGAAAGAGTGAAGAGTGTTGAAACAGGGGCGGTGAGGGGGCTTTTTTTACTGATTGTCACCAAATGTTGCCATTTGAAAAAATTCTTTCTAGCATCTCAAATATGGGTCATTTCTGAAGGATATTTGGTACCAAGACTCTTAACATATTGGTACAAGCTTCCCAAATGACCAAAATCTGGATGCGACTCTTCAATGTATGGTAGTCATTTGGGGTGCTTCAAGAAAACAGTGCTTTAGACAAATTGTGCTTGTGTACTCACGAACAGACTTATTAACAAGATCTTAAAAAGGTGGAGCGAAAACAGCAATGTACAGCCGCGGGTTACGAACGAGAGCCTTGCGGGCCGTGTTTTTGAGACCCTTTCTCTAGTTCCCATTCAAGTAACTGTTGTGCAGCCTTAGGGTGCTAGACACCCACTGATTTGTTTTTCCTCTTTCATTTTCAGTCATGATGAGCTTCTCGAATATGGTGGCATATATGCCTCCATGTGGGAGCAGCAGCAGAAAGGTACAGGCAACACTGGCCCTTCTGAAACATCGGACGAGGGTGTCCCTGAACTGTAGTCACCTCTTCTTTGACCCTAAAGCCAACCAACCTGCAGGCTCGCCCAACTGAGTCCATTGCGTTTGATCAGTTTGTTTGTCGACTTCTAGAGTTGGGACATTTTGTGATTTTCTTTGATATTGTTTTCCCGTTGAACCTACACAGCTGGCTGTAAGCCCCTCAGTAGGAAGATTTTAGCCTCTGGACTGAATATTCAATGGAGGAATGTATAGTTGCAATGCTATGTGTGACATTCACGTACTTTCTGCGTCATCTATTCCAGAAGGGCATATGCCATTTATGTGTTCTTTCGTTTCTTAGGCCGTTAGCTTATTTTTCCTTGTTTTATCAATAGTTCCAATGTTGGAAGAAATATTTTCATGCCATCATACCGATGTTCCTAGAGCCATTATTATTGAAAGACGGTGTTAGTTAGCCCTAAAAATATTCTTAGGCTGTGACTAAAAAAAACTACTGCTCCTGGAACTCATCACTGCACACATCTACGTCATGCCTGTGTATCAGCATGCAAGATGAAAATATTGCTCCATATTTTTCTCTTTACATAACTTCTAGAACAAAGTCTTATTTGTGGTATACGTAGTAACTATGCTTCAATGTATTATCGCTTTTCAAGTCGCTGGGGCGGCTTCAGAATGCATATCTTGGTTGAGTTAATCGAGATCAGCAAATAGTCAAAAGCCCCATTTTTATGTTGCTCTTATTTTAAGTTTTTTATACGTGTGTGCTTTTCTGGGTGAACCTGAGTGTACAGCGAATGCGTGTTTCGGGTAGTTCCAATTTCACAGCTCAAATTGCTCATTAAATCTTTACTTACCATACGTTACAATTCACTTAGTATTTCATAGTCAGTGCTGATGGTTTTTTAAAGAGATTTGTGTTGGCATGAGTAGATAGGACTATGCTCTACTGGTGCGTTTCACTGGAGCACTTTTGGTTCACATTGGACAAGGTGCTAGTATTCTTCTACCCTCATGTTTGTTCTTTGTTTTATTTTTTTAATCGTCAGAAGCAATTGTTTATTTTGGCTGCCTGCACATAGCGAGTGTGAATAATTCTAAAGGAAAAAAAAACTCGTCTGCTTCATCCTAATGCCTTTCTATGTCTGTCTGTCTTGCCAGTTTCCTTGGAGTTTGCTTGGCCCGGTGTTCTGTAGCCACTGTATGGCCTGTTGCCTATATGCATTGAATGTTTTCGAGTCGAGAAAGAATTGCACCGAGTTGTGCTGTGGTCCCATCTCGTGTGTGAGATTACAGGTTGTGAAATGCTCCATGCTGACCCCTCGGCAGTTGTGTTAAGTGCACACGTGATCGCTTTCACCTGTTACATGGTGTTGCAGTCATGTTGATGTTTACTACTTCAAACCCACTTGAGGGTGTGACACTCGAATGTGGTATGTGGGTAATCTTGTGATAGCAGAAAAAGTTATCAGTGCCTTATAGGCATATTCAAGTGCTTTTCTAAGAACAGCGAATGATTATAAAGACTAGAAGACCAATCTACTTTGTCTGCTTGGCCAATTACAGTCCACTTTCCCACTATGTACATCCATTAATTACGTTAGGTTATCTATTTTAGGTTCGGTTTAGTTTGAGAAGGTGTTTCAAAAGATGTAGGCCCTTTTTTGATGGTCTACCGAAGAAGGGAACCTATTTAAGCATACGATTGAATTAATATATGTATTAGAAAAGAAATGTGATGGTATGTGCGGGTTCAAGGGATCTGATTTCTAAGTGTCCTCAGAAAATTTATTATTTGTAAACATGACAACTATCGGCTTGAGAATGCCAGATGTAATGAAACTGAACTGGAGCCATACTTTTGCTTAAAAGCCGCCCCGGCAGCTTGCATCTGGCAACTTGTGCTGCATTGTATTATGCAGTTTGGCCGCATGCATTGACCTTCAATCAAAGAAATTTCCTAACAGTATGGAAGGGTGCAGCGTATCTTTTAAAAGGGCTTGCAATAATAATTCGCTCTACTCACTAAGATTCAAGGGGTGTTTTCACCGAGACTTCTGCCAATCAAGAAAGCTCATTCAGTGTGAAGGCACATCATGATGCCAGACTGCTTGTCACTTGTTGGTCTACTCTGAGAGCAGATCAGGTTTTGGCTTGACTCGGTCGAAAGGTCGTCGCTTTCCTTCTCTTGTATTCATAATGTCCTAGAATAGCAAACCTGACCCCTGACCATGAGTGTCTTCACAACAAGCATACAGCAAATGGATATGCTGGGTCACGGACTGTGGTCAGGTGTTGGAAATCAACTGTTTTCTTGATACTTTCAGTTCAATGTTATTTCTTGCAATGGACTGTGTGCAAAATAGGCAGTGGGGCTTCTGCACGCATCTGGCTTGACTTAAGACAGCAAACAGTGGCAAGGATTGTAATTGATGTCTGAACGTACAGTCTGGTGATGTCATTCCCTACTCCTTGGTGAGTTACAAGATGCCTTCAAACCTGCTTGCTCAATTTTGCATGTGGCCCATTGCCACCCTTACGCACACATCTAGCTTTTTATTCAGAATCAAGCTTTAAATATAACACAAGAGTCAAGTTTTTTTTCGTTTATTTTTTTTTTCATTTCAGTGTGCAGGATGTGAAAGCAAAAACACAAGTGATTTTTGCAGATAGTCAATCTATGCATCTTACAAAGAAGACAGATTAATATGCCTGTAAGAGGCTGTAGCTCTGCGAGGAAGCAGGAGCGTAGCAATTGGGAAAGGAGGCTGAGCGCTGTGCAATTTATGAGCCCAAGCCGCTAAAGCAATATGCGCACATATCTAAACCATTACGGGAAACCAATAATGTTGCTCGGGCCTCATAACTAACCACATGTGCCAGGCTATGGTGAAGTGTTCTATAATAATCCACCGTATGCGGCTGCACTGCCCGCATTCAATTTGCAAAGCAGTTTTATTTTTTGACCTCATAACTGAAAGTGTCATATTGTTTTTGTGGTGCAGTGGACAACTGATGCTTGAATTTTTGAATTTTGAAATGTCACTAAGCAAACTATTTTGCGCATTCTGCCAGATCGTTCATCAGAAGGCCATGACTGCTGTTGTGTTGGCCATCATTAGTTGCCGAAGCAATTGCCATATTCCGTCTAGTCTCCCATTTGATTTCTTAGCTATGAATTTTGCCGCTATGTCATGTTTGTGGTCATGCTACTTTCATAGAAAGGCTGTGTTAGCTGTCCTGCAAATGCAGCACATATTTTACATTTACCTCTGACTGTGGCATAATTACCTGCGTAGGGCTGAAGATTCAGTGTTTTCTGGTATACAGTAATATCATTTCCTTTTTAAGCAGACTATTCCATTGATTGTATGTTGAAAAATGTCCCACATAAACAATACCAATCTGACTACGTCATTGTGTAGAGAATGTTTAGGCTTGAATATATGTCCAGGTGCTGTAAACACAACAGTTTCATTTGGAAGAACAAGGAAGGATGTCTGATGTTTTAACTGGTTATAGATTTCGCACTTCCTTAAAGTATGGCAGATGTCTATTGCAGCTTTGATATGCAGCGGCCCGTGCTAACATGTGGTGGTAGCTGGGTCCTTAATTGATTCCTATGGTGGTAAAAGCGTTATCATCCTGATTGTGTTCTTGATTTTCTACAGCAAAAATATGAGCATAGAGATTATAACTACTTCCTTCATATTACCTAAAATTAGGTAACATTACTCAGCCATTACTCAGTGGGCCGTTAGCAAGTTTTATTTAAAATGACTGTCCTGGCATGCCTGGCTTTCGTTTCCTGGCTCATTGAAATGTGATTGTGAACGCTCAGTGCCTAGGAAATGGTATAATTCTTTTTTTTTTGCAGAGATGATGTGATTGCATATAATGTTATTTCTACTTTACTCTTTCTTTTTGAACATCCACTATTATAATTTCTTTTTGTTATAGTAGTGTATATTAGGCTACTCATGTGTTACTTGTGGAGGTCTGCACAGTTTTGTTCAGTGCACCTTTTTTTCCTTCAGTCATAGGGCAAGCGAAGCAGTTGCTTGTGCTATGATTCACTCTAGTGTGAGATTGTGCAGTCTGTGAAATTTAGACATATTATGGATGTGTGCATCTTTAAATTTAATCATTTATAATTTTTAGGTGTAAAATAGCACTGTGAATGCACTCAAAGGTTTAGGCACCAAGAAAAGGCAATACATTGCTTATGTTCTCTTTCCTTTGTGCCTTAACCGTTGTCCGCATCTATGGCACTGTTTGTCACTGAACAATAACAATACAAAACCAACTAACCTTTGTTTACACCTTAGACGACATTCATTTGCGTATGTGTTTTTAGGAAGTGGTATGCTCTGTAACTACGTTGCACTGTTCTGTGAGCTTGGTGACTTTTCAATAGTGATTTTTTTCCTACTATGGTATTGTTGCTACCACAGTTTAGCAGGAGTGTGTTATCAAATTTTGTGAACTTACTAGTGCCCTGTGCTTTATTGCATAAGAGGCATTGTTAAGGTCGTTGCCAAAGGATGAAGTTTGAACATCATGTGGTCCCTGTGATGAAGTTGTACTTTCAAGGCAAGAAAGAAGGACACGAATGGTACTGCACCAAACCATGAATGAAGAAACATGGAACAAAAGTGGTGCTTTGTAGATTAGATGAGGGGACAATTTCTTCTGCCACATTGGGGCTACTTAGAGAATGCCAGATGTAATGAAACTGAACTGGAGCCATACTTTTGCTGAAAAGCTGCCCCGGCAGCTTTATGTTATGTTAATAAACATTGATTTCTCTTTCTCTCTTTTTATGCTGTGGGCATGCTGTCAACATGACCTTCATTGCTAAAATGTTTAAAACATTTGACATCTTTCCTCACAGAAATTGACCGCAGTATTTTTTCACAAGTTTCAAGCAGCCTTACTTCATGTACAGTGGGGTGGTGGGCCCATTGCATAGATTGGTTTGATATAACTGCGGCCCACTCACCAATATTTCCTGCTTCTAGATGCATCGGTCATCTGATATTTTTCGTCACGCGCTTCTAGACACACAGGCACTGTCATGAATAACATTCATTATCAAGTACCAAAAAGTAAATGAGAGGTGTTCAGCACGGGAAATCAGTTATCAGCAGACAAAACAGCCACAAGAAATTTTCTCAACAATCCGCCTTGCTCTCAGTCCTGGGGTTCAAGGGCCACTATACCTCAAACACTGCTCCCGTGCAAGTGCATGTCTTGCTTACATCTGATAGCTTTCACCCATTGCAACAATCTAAGAGTATAACTCACAAGGAATGAGTAACTCGGTTTGAAAAGCATTTTGCAAATGTAGCCTTGATTTTCTCGCTTTGTTCTTTGTAGGCTTGTGTTTTGTGTGAAGGCTGCTTATAAAGAATGAAAAGTTATAGTTATCGTGCTTCCAGCTTCCTTGACTGCTCAAGACTGTTCCAGAAATATTTGCAGATCCTGTACGAAATACAAGCAACAGTTGTTGCTCACTTTTAGCTTGCTATGCGGCTGTCACGGCACTGGGCTCAAGCACAAGCTTCTCCCAAGTCGTGGCACAGGATTGGGCCTCTGGTGTATGTCTTGGTCCATTCGCCGGTATGAAGTAGTCAAGATCTTTTCCAAACAAAAAACAAAAGCTTAAGTAATACATTTAAACAAAGGTGAAGATGTTTTCCAACAAATAAAGAGATATTGCCAACGAAGAGAACAGTTTAGAACAAAGGTGATTGATTTTCCATTTCATAATATAAGTGAAGCATGCACGAAAGTTACTACAGTATGTAGAGACAAAGTTCACTAACAGATGAATGATCTAACAGCAATAGCTGAACCCATAATTCGCAGTCCACTAAGTTCAAGTGAATGACATACGAAACCGGGCGCAGCAGAGTGCTTACACCGATGCCGTTCAAAGGGACCTTTGAAGCTGGCGAGACAAGTCAGCGGTGGCTCAGTCCTGGGAGTTGCCCAGCGTGGATCTCTCCACCGGAGCATTGCAGACTGTCGAAGTGTGGGCAGTATGGGATCGGCCCGTTCACGATGCGGAGCATCTCTTGCTCGATGGTATGTCACGCGTCAATTGTCCGCACTCACACTATGCATGCGCGACTTTCCTCCTTCCCTCTCCAGCAGCTGCGCGTTACACTCTCCACTTCACTGGTCGCGCTTGCCAATCCCTCTCTCTCCTATCCTACGTTCCCCTCTCCTGCCTCGCAACACAGACGCAGGGAGCGTCTGCTAACCTACGCTTGCTCCCCCCTCTCCTCTAGGCATTCCTCCCCGCTGCGTCTCCCAAAGCCGAAGCAGCTGCAGCGTCTGCTAGCACGTTTCTTGATTGAAAAAACGGACTGCTCGCGCTGCACAACAGGAACTTGACCTCCAAGGTATACATGGTTTGCATGTACGTCACCTTTCCGGTAACGACAGGACTGAGAACCGCCATATTTGTCAACATAAGCAGCTGCCTAGAAGCGTAGTCGGGAGCTTTGCAGCGGCGAAATCTGGTGTACGGTCGTGCTACCGGCTTCACCATGACTATTTGGGCCATTTTCGAATGCAGAGTAGTACCCGCCGCGGTGGTCTCGTGGCTAAGGTACTCGGCTGCTGACCCGCAGGTCGCGGAATTGAATACGGCCGCGGCGGCTTCATTTTCGGAGGATGCGAAAATGCTTGGACCCGTGTGCTTAGATTTAGGCGCACGTTAAAGAACCCCAGATGGTCGAAATTTCGGGAGCCCTCAACTACGGCGTCTCTTATCATATATGCTGGTTTTGGTACGTTAAACCCCAATACGACTCGTAACCTTTTCCTCCACTGCTGGTGGTCGAACATGTGAACGGATATAACGCAATAGAAGAGTTGAACTTTATTGCAGAAAACACTTTGAATACAGCAGCACACACTCAAAACAAAACATGAGCAGCGCATATGTTTAACTGTTGTGAATGAGCGCGAAGATCGTGTTTATGTATGTACAATGACGCTATACAGCCTGCCGCTTCTTCCAACACTGATTAGACTTGTAGTGTTTCTACTCAAAAGAACAGAACAGCATTATAGCTTCAGTATGGAACTGGCGTCCATCTTAATCTGCTTTATTTCTAACTTCATCTTTCTCTTCTTTCCTACCCCGGCTCTCGTGCTTCTTCTCCTGTCCCAAGGCTCATACCGCTTCACCCTTCCCGGTTTCTTTTAATTACCCCTTCTGGGGTAATAGAAGACATTTCTAATTGAAGCACATTCAACTGATCCACGTTCACCAGCGTACCAGACAGTCTTCAAAATACCGTTCTGGGTGGCTGTCTTGGTCACAGAGTAAGGACAGTAAAATTTGGCACTGTCATCTCTTATTCCTTTCTTCACTAGTACGAGGTCAGTGACTTGAATATCGGGCATGTCTGCTCGATGCCTTTTGCCGAAATTCTTCTTCATTCGTTTTCGGCATCTCTCCTCCCGTAATTTTTCTTGCCTCTCCTCGACGATCTTGATGTTTTTCAATAGTCCCAACTCACGGTCGGCCTGCAGAATAGGGGTCTCTCCTGAAGAAGCGTACTGTGAACTGCACCTCAAGGCACTTGTATAGGATCGATTAAGATTCACGGCGGCTTCCAAAGAACATTTCCATCCACCAGGAAAACTATCGTACATCTTGATGTACTGTTTCACGTCCCGTATGGCACGTTCTACCAGCCCATTCGCTGCGGGATGGTATGGAGCACAGAACTTGATCGATATATTGTGGTCCCGAGCCCATCTTGCTAGCTTTTCGCTCTTGAACGCAGGGCCGTTATCGCATATGATTGACCGCGTAGTCTTAAACATGTCTTTTTCGAGGAGAATTATGACGCTATTTACATCTTCTCTTCCTGCTCGTGCCGCGACCATCCTCGAACATTCATCTATGGCCAGAAGAAAAGCTTGCGTTTTCTCTACTCCTTCCCGTTTCTTGTTTAGTTCGGCAAAATCTAGGTGAACTACTTCGAAAGGCACATTCGAGTGGCACGGTAGTATCATAGCATCTGTAGGCTGTTTATACTTGACTTTGTGTACTTGACACACATGGCAGGAACGACTGTACTGACTGACGTCTTCCTTCATGTGAGGCCATGTAAATTTTTTGACCAATTTGTTGTAGGTGCGCCAAAATCCGTCGTGTCCTCCAGATTCTGGGCTATCGTTGTACAAATAAAAGGACTCTGTAAACAAGTGTTGGTGGGACTTGATACCGACCTTCAGTAAAAACCAGTTGTTCGGAGCCTTCCCACAGCTTCACTTCATTAATTTCTTCGGATTGTTCTGTGTTGCTTCGTATCGTCAACCTTGATAGAGCATCTGCATTGGTTAAAAGTGGTCCTGGTCGGTGTGAGACGGTAAGGTTGAACTGCTGCGAATAATTCATCCATCTAGCAATACGTCCTTTAGTTTGGGTCATATTCAAGAGATGAGTGAGGGCCTGGTGATCGGTGAACAAAGTGAACTTCGTACCTTCCAGGTACGTACGGAAGTACTCAATGGCCTTCAGAACCGCCAGGGCTTCCTTTTCCGTAGTAGTGTAGTTAATTTCAGATAGCTTGAACGTGTAACTGTAGTAACCTACCACGTGTCGCTTTCTCGGCTGGATGATTTAATATAATTTTGATACAACACTGCACCAGTCCCATAATGTGAGGCGTCAGTGTTCAATTCAAAAGGTCAAGGAAGTCTGGTAGGCATAGGACAGGGCCAGAAGAAATTCTGTGCACCAAGTCACGGTACACTCTCTCACATTCGTCACTCCAGTTAACGAGAACGTCTTTCTGTGTTAAACGTGTGAGACATCAAGTTTTGACTGCAAAGTCCTTTATGAAAGATCGAAATGTCCTGCTAATCCCAAAAACACCCGCAGTGAATGGACGTCATATGATTTCTTCAACTGGGAGATATTCTCGACGGACATCTTGTTTCGTGCTTTTGGTGTTCCCTATCGAAGACTCGTCCAGGCAACACAACCTTTCTTTGAAAGAATGCACTCTTCTTGAAATTAACCTTGAGATGTACCAAGCTTAAGGCGTTTAACACCTGAGACAGATGGTCCTGATGCTCAGCCTCTGTTTTGAGAAGACTATTATGTCGTCTATGTACACTTTACAGAAAACACCAAGGAATGGCCTTAGCACGTCGTTCATGATCTTCTGGAACCACGCTGGTGAGTTTTTCCAACCGAAAGGAAGCCGGTTATACTCGTAGAGGTTGAATGGCGTGACAAAAGCTGTGTAAATTTTTGTTTCTTTGGTTAGTGGGATCTCCCAGAAGCCTTTGCACAAATCGATGCGGGAAAAATGTCGGCAACCACCAGTCTCATCTATAATTGTGTCGATCTTCGGCATAGGGAATGGTATGAGTTATGCCTGACAATTGAGAACCCTGTAGTCGGTGCATAATCTGAAGGTTCCGTATTCTTTCGGTGCAATCGTTATGGGAGAAGCGAAGGGTTATACCGATGGTCCTATGATATCAGCATCTAGCATCTCCTGCAACTCTTTCTTGAGCCAAATATTTCGCTCTCTTGACATATTGTAAGGTGATTTTCGGATGACGCGCGCGATTTTGTCAGCGAGCTCAAAAGGAACCTTGTATGACTTCATCGCCTGAGGATAGCTTTCTCTGCATACAAGTTCAGGGTAGGTCGTTGCGATATCCTCCGTGCACTTTAAAACCCGTAGGTTATCTTGTCTACCTTGATATGTCTCGTTCTTTGCTACGGCCTCGACTAGAACCACATTGTCCCAGTATATGTTTATCTTTAATTTCTTTAC